GTATATATACTATGTTCTTTTTTTTGTATGCAGCCTGTGGACTGAATGAAAAAAATGAGAAGAAATCTATGCCAGAAAAAGTGTGTGGTATGCCCACCATTAGAATATACCGCCCTGCATCCACCCACTTCTAAAGGTGGGCACACATTAGGTCACACTTTGCCAGAAGCGCCAGTTCCAAGATTGAATAAATGTCTACATAGTGGCACGCTTGAATAAAAATTGCCCACGTATAAGTGGTACCCCATATGGAAAAAGGATTACACCAAGTCCCAAACTATCTTGTCACTACTCCCCATGTAGTCTGGGCATCCAGGGAGCTCCACGTGACTATCTTTTCCCTCATAAATCCAAAACTTATAAGTATAGCCTGTTGCCCTCTCAAAGGTCTTCTACATCTTGACCCCATATCTGGCACGCTTGCAGGGGAGAAATTGTTTGAATGCAAGGCGACCAGAAAAATTAATAAGGGACTCATCAACGTAGATGTTTTGCTGGGGAGTATAGACATCTGCAAATTTTTGGTTAAGGTGATTTGTGTGGGGCTGAATTTTGTGGAGCCGGTCAAATTCAGGGTTACCCCGAGGATGACAGAGTGTATTGTCGCTGAAATGCATAAAACACATTATACTCTCATATCTATGCCTGGCCATGGCAGAACACGGCATATGATGAATCGGGTCTGCAGACCAATACAACTGCAATTAATTTCTTTTAGTAATGCCCATGTTGAGGGTTAGGCCCAAAAAAAAAAAAAAAATTAAATTCGGAAACCATAATACGTTTCCATGCAACTGGTCTGGCAAGATTTAAATTTGGGTTGGCGGCGATAAATTGTTGTGCATATAAATTGCTTTGATCCACAATCAACACATACAGATATTCCGTGAAAAACAGCTAAAAAAAAAACCAAGGGGAGGAGTTAAATTTGCTATTTCCACCTGAATTCCGGGTTGGGCAGTGAATGGGGGGGGAAGTACGGGTGCTGCAGAATTTGTGGGCTGTCAATCGGGATTTGCAAGCACATCCGGAAGGATACTAGGGGCTCTACAGGCCTGTGTGTGAATTCTTGGTGGTTGCGGGACAATACTTGTGCTCGCCACCGCACCAGCTTGTACTGCACTTATGGGACTCGCCACGTCGCCAAGTCATACTGCAGTGCTGGTATTATTATTATACAGGATTTATATAGCGCCAACAGTTTGCTCAGCGCTACAATATAACGGGAGACAATAAAGAACAATACAGTTCAATACAAGAGGGTTAGGGGGGTCTGATCCTCGGAGTTTACAATCTAAGAGATATGTGAAAGACAAGGAAGTACTAGGCCACTAGTACTCGCCTGTTCACCAAAAGGTAGCGTGGCACTAGTACTGGCACTCTGCTGCATATGAAAGTCATCAAAATTTACTGACAAGTGCTAACAGAGATCAGGCCTGATTCTGCCAACACTGCGGTTTTGTGTGCAATGTATCAAGTGACAGTGACCTACTGACACTGCACTTGCTGGGGGAGAATGGGGGGTAAGCGTAGGGGCTAAACGCAGGTGCCGGGGCTGATCCCGCTAACGCTGCATTTTTGGGGACGCTATACTAATGTGAACGCTGGTATAGTGCTGACCTGATCAAAGATATTGACCCGTTCAGACACTATACTATTGGTTTATTGTGCATGAGTGTGCTCCTGGCAATAAAGGGGTTAAATGTGACGACTGGTGTACTGACGGGCAATCTGACACTATCTGGGAGGGGCGTGAACACAGCGGGAATGAGAATCACGTATATATATATATATATATATATATATATATATATATATATATATATATATATATGTGTGTGTGATTTTGCGCACCCATGCCGCCCTGTAGCAGTATTTCTGCTATAGGGCGGTCAGGAAGCGGTTACAAAGGCAGTTACAGAGCGGTTTGTGTTATGTCGCTGTGTAACTTTAACTGACAGTTGCGCGGTCATGCAACACTGCACCCACATTAAATTTACGTCCTTTTTTTTCCCACAAATTGAGCTTTCTTTCGGTTGTATTTGATCACCTGTGTGATTTTTATTTTTTGCGCTATAAAAAAAAAAAAAGGCTGACAATTTTGAGAAAAAAAAAAACAATATTTTGGACTTTTTGCTATAAAACATATCCAGTAAAAAAATGTAAAAATCAAATTTAGTCATAAATTTCAGCCAAAATGTATTCTGCGACATGTCTTTCCTAAAAAAAAATCCCTATATGTGTAAATGAATTGGTTTACGTGAAAGTTATAGCGTCTACAAATGGTGGTATAGATACTGGATTTTTATTTTTTTTTTTATACTAATAATGGTGGTGATCAGCAACTTATGGTGGGACTGCGGCGGACATTCTGACACTTGGGGGGGAACTGACTTGGGGTCACTGACATCCCCAGTGACACCAATACAGTGATCAGTGCAAAAAAAAAAAAAAAAAAAAACACTGACACTGTACTAATGGCACTGGGGAGGAAGGGGTTAACTTTTTTAGACAATCAAAGGGTTAACTGTGTGAAGGGAGTGTTTTAACTAGTGGGCGGGGGTGTGTACTTCACAGGAACACACTGATCCCGAGAGCTAAACTCTGCTCTCAGGAACAGTGTGCTGGAAACGGACAGAGAGCGGAGCTGCATTGAAAACAATGCAGCTGTGCTCTGTGTCAATGTTTGCCGGCAATTGCTGGGACCCGGCGGGTAATGACCGGCCGTGATCCGATGATTGACACCCGCGATCGGTGGCACGGGTAGGGCGCGCGCCCCCTACCTGTTTTGCTGAATGACGTTTTAAAACGAGATTTAGCACAACGGTGCCACCCTGCCGCAGTATATACACTGTGGCTGGTAGGCAACCAGTTAAACAATTAATACAGGGACCACACATCACTGATTCTTCTGATAAGAAAGCATAACTGTAGCTTAAATAAATAACAAGCTATATAGTGAGCGCTCAGAATGTGTAGCAGCTATTGCACTAAAGGTGACCATAATAACATCAAAATTCAAAGAAGTGCAGCGCTTAAGATAAGTTCCATCAATAAAAATATATAACCAACGAATAGCAATAGACCCTTATAAGGCAGGTATCTCATTACTTTAAATGCTGGTATAAACAGCCGACCAAAATAGCAGAAATGCGCACTCAGAGGAAGCGCATATTAACAGCTCATGTAGTAATAAATGATAGGTGGTGGGCTGCCTCTCTGATCATCAAGCCTTGGAGAGTAGTGAGATTCTGCCTGGTCCAGAGATCCCTCTGATGATGTGCTTTTAGCACGAAAGGCCTTAGGAAGGAGGAGCTGTACAGAGCGTGACGTTTTATGCCGCTGAAGCCACGAGGAGGCTCGGCGGCCATCTTTAAAGGGGTCAGTATTTTATCCTTCAATAAATTTTTCCTGAAATACTACACTATTGGGCACCTGTTATTTGAGCTCCTATGCGAGCTATTACACCTGCAGGAAATCCCTGTGATATCCAGTATCCAGAGAAGGGAGCCCTTTCCAAAGCAGAATACCTGTTCATCCTAAGGGGGATCTCTGGACCAGGCAGAATCTCACTACTCTCCAAGGCTTGAGAGGCAGCCCACCACCTATCATTTATTACTACATGCGCTGTTAATATGCGCTTCCGGTGAGTGCGCATTTCTGCTATTTTGGTCGGCTGTTTATACCAGCATTTGAAGTACTGAGATACCTGCCTTATAAGGGTCAATTGCTATTCTTTGAACTTTTATATATTTAATGATGGAACTTATCTTAAGCACTGCACTTCTTTGAATTTTGATAACTGTAGCTTGTTTTCATACTCTGTTACTGAAAGTTTAAATTAAGCTGTACTAAAGCAAAGAGAGAGAGAAACGAGGAAGAATCACTCCTCAGACTTATTCAACTTGCTTTTTTTTTTAGTCTTTAACCACTTGCTCTCCAGAGGATTCAATCCCCCTTCCTGACCAGGCCATTTTTTTTGCATTACGGCGCTGCGTTAATTTAACTGACAATTGCGTGGTCATGCAACACTGCACTCAAATTAAATTTATGTCCTTTTTTCCCCCACGAATTGAGCTTTCTTTTGGTGGTATTTTAGCGCCTGTGCAGTTTTTATTTTTTGCACTTTAAAAAAAAAAAAAAAGACCGACAATTTTGAGAAACAAAACAATATTTTTGACTTTTTGCTATTAAACATGTCCAGTAAAAAAAATTTAAAAAATCAAATTTGTCATAAATTTAGGGCAAAATGTATTCTGCTACATGTCTTTGTTGAAAAAAAAAAAAAAATCCCAATATGTGTACATTAATTGGTTTACGTGAAAGTTATAGCATTTACAACTGGTGGCATATATACTGGGATTTTTTTAAATTTAATTTTTACTAGTAATGGCGGCGATCAGCAATATATAGCGGGACTGCGGCAGGCATTCTGACACTGGGGGGGGGAACTGGCTTGATGTCAATGACATCCCCAGTGATACCAATACAGTGACCAGTGCTAATAAAAAGCACTGACACTGTACTAATGGCACTGGGCAGGAAGGGGTTAACATGTGGGGTGATCAAAGAGTTAACTGTGTGCTGTTTTACTAGGGGCTGTGTGTTTGTACTTCACTGTAAGCACACTGCTGTGCATGGCTGTGCTGTGCACAGCCATGCAAAGCAGTGTGCATGAGCTGACAGGGACTCGGGGTGCACGGCCGGGACCCGGGGACTGACAGCCGTGGCCACGAATGGTGGTGCGGGTAGGGGGCACACCCCTACCCGGAAATTAAAAATCACATATATAGACGTGATTTTGCGCACCCGTGCCGCCCTGTAGCAGTATATCTGCTATAGGGCGGACGGGAAGCGGTTAACAAAGTATACGAAAATATTAAAAAAAAACACTACATATTCCTCTAAAATGCAGTAAATTATAATATTACCTATAAATCCTAAAAATAAGAAGCTTAGCATGTTTTAGAGGCAGAATTACTTAAAAAGGAGCTTATTACCTCATACTGCTGCATTAACTGCACCATGGAGTCACCTACAAACAAGACATCTGGTTCTTTGTCCTTACAGTCCAAAACAAACCTATTGTGCTGAAAAAGTGAAAAGAACTTGTTTCAATTAAACATTTTAGGATGAATTACATTGCACTGTTATTCTCAAACAATAAATGAAAATCTTAATACTACAACTTTGTCATGTATGTTGTGAACATGCACCTGTCATGAGACATGTATGCAAGTTGCCATAGCTGACCTGTTCCTTTAAAAATGTTAGCTTCCTGCATGTCATATTGAGGCTTTTCCTTCAATGCATACTGAAACACTGACAAGTTAAAAGGGATTCTAAAGATTCTTTTTTTTCTTTTTTTTGTAAAATAACAAATACAGGTATACCTCATTTTACGAATATAATGCGTTCTCTGGGACGTTTCGTATTGCAAAAAATTTGTAAACCGAAACAGGGTTTCCTATAGGAATGCAGTGAAAACCAATTAATCCGTTCCGTAGGTCAGAAAAAAGTAAAAAAAAAGTCGCTGTCACTATAGGTCAGTGCCGGTTTTTAAACATAATTACTATTTTTTTTTTCTTCACAATAGCTCAGAGAATCAGCTGTCACTTTCCTCCCAGCTAAAAGAAAGAAAGTTTCATTTCAGTTTATTTCCCCCTGTAAAAAGAAACAATGTTTCCTTTTAGTTTGTTTCCCGAGATAAAAGAAACAAAGTATCCTTTAACTCCTGGGAAACTGACAGTTAATTCTGTGAGCTACAGTGAAGAAAAAAAAAAAAAAAACGGCAATTGCACTTAAAAATTGGCATGGACATACACTAAGTATTGCGAAAAAAATTTGAAAAAAATGTGTAAACCGAGGCATTATTTTCAATGGATTTTCATTCGTAAACCAAAAGTTAAGTTAACTGAGGCATTCGTAAACCAAGTAACACCTGTATGTCCTATACTTACCTGCTGTGTGCAGTGGTTTTGCACAAAGCAATCCGGATCCTCCTCTTCTCGGGTCCCCCACAGGCTCTCCTGCTCCTCTTTGCTGTCTCAGCCAATGAGGAGACGGACCCGCGACAGCTGATGGGGCTCAAGTAGGTATTGAGGGGGCTGGGGGGGGGGATGCTTCATACAGAAGTACCTTCATGCATAGAATGCATCAAGGTAAAAAACCTTGAGTCTTTACAACCGCTTTAAAGCTCCGGCAACTATAGTCACCCATTTTTTTATGCTGTCCCCAGCAGTCTTATTGATTCACAACCCCTCCTCTTCAAGGTGAAATTATACTCAGCATCATTAAAAAACCACTCCCTGTGACCCCGGAAAGCTCTGACCCTACTCTGTGACTCACAGGTGAGTGCTAGATAGTGGCGGAAGGATAAAAATAAATTAAAAAAAAAAAAGGAAGAGGTTTAAAGAGGGCCTGTGACATAACCAGACCAAAGACAGCGGTGCAGTTGTTATCCAATAGGGGTGGGGAGGACAGCTGAACCCAGTTTTGAGCTTTAAAGCTGAACTCCAAATGGACCTGGAGTTTTGCACGGACATCCAGCATCCTCTCTAAGGCCTTTGCTCCCCAGCTTGACTGTCCCTGGCCAACACCTGTCATTCATGAGAATTTAAACTATTTTCAGGAAGCTATGTACAGCAACCTTCCAGCCCATACCATCCCATCAGCCATGATCTGCCAGCATTGTACATAGAAATTATAGGCAAAATATAAGCAGAATAAACTTCAGCTTAATCAAGAGCCCCAGGAGGAAACTACATAACTATGTAAGAAAAGCCAAAGGAATATGCAATAAAAAGAGAGAAGAAACATGATGATTCATGTGTTTCTTTGTGTACCTGACATTTCATTTCCTGACTATATGCTGCAGCAGTACTTTAGTAACAACAAATCAAATTCCTGCAGCTGAGGATTGAATTGCTTAGTATATTAGAGCAGGTTTGTAACCTGGAAACCTCAGGTACAGACCAGAAGACTGTCTGTCTTGCCCACGCAAGCCTGCTGTAAGCCACTGGAAGGGTCATCAACACAGCTGCCCACCTTCCTGTCCACATTGATGGTCATTGAGAACTACAAAGTTTGGTTCAGCGGCTACAGAAGTGACACTGCCGCCTGCTTAATCCTTCCTTATGGTGCCCGGGCATAGCTCAATTTCCCGTATTCAGTGATGATGTTGCACACGTTTAAAAGGTAAATGTAGCACAAACTATGCAACTGTAGACTGAATAAAATGCTAGTTTTTAATAGACACGAATTTAGGAGATTTTTATAATTTAGAAGTACATGAGAAGCCTGTTCCTTGTCACAAGATTTCAATACTCTGGAACCAAAGTATTACAAATGAAGCATCTGCAAACAATAAAAGGGCAAGAGTTTCATTTATAGGAAAAAAAAACACCCCAAAAAATCCGCTGTATTACCTGAGAGAGCCACCGATCATCCCCCTGCACATCCTCAGCAGCATGAGGGACAGCAGCAGAGTTTGTGTCCCCCTGACTCATTATGCAGACAATCTGCCTGTAAAAACAAAGGTGTACATAAGTGACATGCGCTCATTAAAACAAAATACATTACAAAGGGGTGTACTTAGAATAAAAATTGCATAGCAATCACCCAGTGTAATAGCATTTACGTTCCTTTTATGCAAAATAACAGACAATTTTATGTGCGAATTGAATGTTTTTTATGGTTTTTAACAGTAAAATACTGCATTTGGCCACCCAATGATGCCAAGTAGAATAGGAAATGCCCTCACCATAGTCATCTACAATGAAGGACCATTGGTCCTGCATGTTACTTAATACAACCACTGACTGGAGCGCCTTAGTGAAGAAGCTTCAGGGAAACAATTGTACAGCATAGTAGAAGCCTACTGAATCAAGAAATGAGGTCAGTATTACAGATTCTTTCTCTACCCCTAGACTGGGGCTAGGTTCACACTAGCCTGCTTGGCGTGTTATCGTACAGGATAGTGAAAATGTCAGCCCAAGCAGAGAGCATTGTTTCAGTGTATGTTTCAATGCATCACACTATAGTTTCTTTTTTCTAAAAATGTTTTCAAGTGTCCAATAGTGAAACCTCATTCATTGTGCTGGTCAGTAGGGACATGCGGTTAAGAAAAATGAAGACCTGTTGCATTTTTTCTGCACTGCAGCACATACCATATCATCATTGTGGTGTGAAAGGGCCCCACAGAAAACATACATTTTTCTGTCTTTATCCAGTGCAGAAATACACATGCCATAGCACACAGCATGAATGAGCCTTTAATAAGCACTTAGCCATTGCAGTACAGGAGTGGGAGCCCACTGCTTGGGTGTAATTTAGCTTTCAAGGGGAACTAAAAGTTACATGGTCTCGGCATGTCAAGAATAGATCAGGACTGTACACTGAACTGAACCACGTACACAGAAAACAAAAAGTCTCCAGGAGATTTTTTGGCAAGGTTTACTGACTCATTAGTGATGAATTCAATCATATTCAGATTCTAGTTTGCCCCCTCCTGAGTGAGCCCGCAAGGAAACTGTCACTATATCGGGGACAGACTAAAATCTAAACGTACCTAAGCTGATCCCTGCTCAGCATGACCAGCAAGCTGCTGAAGGCAAAGTAAGGCCTCGTTCACTTAATCATACACTCGTGCAAAGGGCTGTGTTTGCCCACACAGGATACACAGGTGTTCTATGCCTCCACGTGCAGGCAGTCCCCTTCATGTCAACTGGGATGCAGCAGCTGCACAGACACAGCTGCTGCTCCCAATTTGGCATCTGATCAAAAGTATGTGTGTGTCCCAAAATTCAGTGTGAGTTGGAGGACATGCATCCGCATGGATGTCAATTGGGAGCAGTCAGTTTGGAAGGTGCTCCATCCCAGATGACATGAAGGGGACAGCCTGCAGGTAGATGCATAGAACACCTGTGCATCCTGTTTGGGTAAACAAAGCTGTTTTCATGGGTGTATGCTTAAGTACGCTCATGTGAATAAGTCCTAACACCTAAGGACATGCACAGGAGATATATCACCCATGGCCGCACCATGGCCAAAGAGGAACACGGTAGCAGGATCCTGGACCCTTTATGGTTGGAGGAAGTAGGCGTGTGCTGGACATAACTACAGAATATGGCAAAGGCTCACCCCCTCCAAGTCTTTATCTGCTTGAAAGTGATACGAAGAGTTTTTTTCCCTTTAAATTAAAGAGATGTTATATTCACCTCCTCTGTGCAACAATATTACACAGAGCAGTCCCTTACCTTCTCTTCTGGAGTCCCCTGCCAGCGCCCACCACTCCACCTTTCCTCTGGGTGCCTCCTCAACAAGTCAGGGGCCAAGAGGGCACCATCCAGATCTGGGCTGTGTGCTTTCATAAACATACACAGCACTGGTAAGCCCCGCCCCTGTAGAGCATTTGAAGGACAGCAGCAGGAGCTTTTGGATCCCACTCCTCTGTGTATCCTGCGAGACCAGGAAGAGACAGCAGCAGGGCCAGGGCATTGCTGGATCAGTGACAGGAGTCAGGTACGTGTTTGGGGGCAAAGAGAGAACAAGTAGCTGGGATTTGTTTATCTTCATGAAGAACCTATGAGGTATACAGCACAGGGTGGGAGGAGGGTACAGATGTATACAGCACAGGGTGGGGTTGGGAGGAGGGGTACAGGTGAATACAGTCCCTATGGAGTATACAGCACAGGGTGGGAGAGGTGCAGGTGTATACAGCCCTTATGGGGTATACAGCACAGGGTGGGGTTGGGAGGAGGGGGTACAGGTGAATACAGTCCCTATGGGGTATACAGCACAGGGTGGGGTTGGGAGGAGGGGGTACAGGTGTATACAGTCCTTACTGGGTATACAGCACAGGGTGGGGTTGGGAGGAGGGGGTACAGGTGTATACAGTCCCTATGGTGTATATAGCACAGGGGGTGGGGGTGGGAGAAGTGCATATCCATACAGCTAGGGTTGCCACCTCATCCCTTTAAAGCCAAGCACATGCTGATTACACAGGTTCAGAGGCTAATTTAATGCAGATAGGACACTGAATGAGTTTAATGACCACCTTAATTAGCCACAGGACCTGTGTAATCAGTATGTGTTCAGTTTTACAGGGATGAGGTGGCAACACTACATATAGCATGGGGCTGGGCTTACAGCCCTTATGGGGTATACAGCACAGGAAGGAGAGGTCCAGGAGTATATAGGCTCCTATGGTGCATACAGAACAGTGTGTTGGGTACAGGTGTACATAGGCTGTATGGCGTATACAGCACAGGGTGGGAGGAGTACAGGTGTATACAGGCTGTATGGGTGTATGCAGCACAGGGTGGGAGGAGTACAGGTGTATACAGGCTGTATGGGGGTATACAGCACAGGGTGGGAGGAGTACAGGTGTATACAGGCTGTATGGGGGTATACAGCACAGGGTGGGAGGAGTACAGGTGTATACAGGCTGTATGGGGGTATGCAGCACAGGGTGGGAGGAGTACAGGTGTATACAGGCTGTATGGGGGTATGCAGCACAGGGTGGGAGGAGTACAGGTGTATACAGGCTGTATGGGGGTATACAGCACAGGGTGGGAGGAGTACAGGTGTATACAGGCTGTATGGGGGTATACAGCACAGGGTGGGAGGAGTACAGGTGGATACAGGCTGTATGGGGGTATGCAGCACAGGGTGGGAGGAGTACAGGTGGATACAGGCTGTATGGGGGTATGCAGCACAGGGTGGGAGGAGTATAGGTGTAGATCAGGCAGCCATTTTTTTTTTTTTAATGACAGGTTTACTTGAGCCCGGACTATGCCCGGTTCTCTATCATCTCAGCCTCCTCCCCCTAGATCAGACCTCTCCATTCCAGCCATCACACCCCTAGTGATGAGGCCTCTGCCCGGCTGGACCAGCACACAGAGCTACCACCACACCAACCCGGTCCTCCCACCGGCACCACCTCACTATCACCAATCCCCTGACTTCACTCACTCGGTGCTCCGGTAACTCCACCCCTTCCGGTCTAAGAGCCCCCGGTGCTGCTCTTGCTGGCGCGACAGTCGCCTTACGCAACTTCCGTTTGTGTCAGTCACGAAGCGCCAGACCAATGACAGCCGGCGGAAGTGACGTATCGACAGCGCCGGAGGGGAGCGGAAGTCCTGTAGGGGACATAGAGACTATGGCGGGGGGTGTAAGGCTGGCTGAGCCCCAGCAAAGACGAGGAGCTGGTTATTCCTGCTTGGAGGAGACGCATGTGATCCCCGGCCTGTGTTTTTCTGCGTGGCCTTCCCAGACAGGTCATGTTTTCCGGAGTCCTCATCACGAGGCAATTCGTTTGAACAGAAATCCTCCTATGTGCTTTGTATGGCTCATGACAGGCAGGAAACCATGACTCTCGCAGCGACGTTCACCTCTTCCTTGCATTGTACTCCTCCCTCTTTCCAGGAAGTTATGTGTATAATATATAGGTATATATACAGGGCTTTTCCTTCTCAGGGGATGGGTGCAGGAGTTCCCCTTTTCTGAGTCCCCCTCGTCTCCTCCCCAATCTGCCTCCAAGTAATGTTCCTTGGTTCCACCACCTTCCAGTCCCACCCCTTTTAGACATACAGAACCAAGTATCATTTTATGGTGCTAAATAATTTGTATCAAATTTGTTGATAAGAAAAGCAGTAAAATCCCCTACAGCCAGTAACAATAGATCCTCCACACAATAGACTTCCCCAGCACAATGGGTCCCACTCCACCAACAATAGATCCCTACACAGTAAACATGTACTTCCCCAGCAGCAACAATAGATCTCCCAGGAACCTCTCCCTCAACAGATCCCTATAGCAACATAAGACCCCCAGCAACAGACCCTCACCAGTGACAATAGTTCCCCCAGCATCAATAAAGCTTCAACCACACACCCTGCCATTAAATGCAATTGGTGCTGGAACTGTGTTTCCGCTGAAAAAAGGCCCTTTATATTTACACACGCTCACTGGACCCTTTATTAGAAACACCTGTTCAATTGCTTGGTAACACAAATTGCAAATCAGCCAATCACATGGCAGCAACTCAATGCATTTAGGCATCTAGACGTGAGATCGACTGGCTGAAGTTCAACTGAGCATCAGAACGGGGAAGAAAGGGAATTTAAGGGACTTTGAACCTGGCATGTTTGTTAGTGCCATATGGGCTGGTCTTGAGTATTTCAAAAGTTGCTGGTCTACTGGGATTTTCATGGACAACTATCTCCAGGGTTTACAGAGAATGGTTCGAAAAAGAGAAAATATCCTGTGAGCAGCGGTTGTGTGGACGAAAATGCCTTGTTGATGTCAGAGGAGAATGGTGAAATAAAGTCAAAAGCTGCTGCACATGGGTGTGGGAGACTGGAAAAAGGTATACAGTGGAACCCAGATATAAATGAAAATTCCAACGGGTAGGCCGTGCTCTCGTGTAGGACTGGGGAAGTCCAGAGGCAATTGCAGAGAAAATAAAACTAGCGCACCGGCCTAGCGCATTATCCCAGATACAAGT